TATAGCGGACAAAACACAAAGGAATATTATATTCCAGTTTCCTTGTCAAATAAAATATGAGAGATGGGGAAATTAAAGGATGACCTATAGGTTGATTTTTATTTGCTTAGATCTTTATATAATATTGTGCTTAAATGTAGTAACTGCTGTTTTGTTCTATTTTTGTTTGTTTAATGCTACTTAATACCAGTTACTAGGTTCCAAAAAATCAGTTCCTGTGAAGATTTAACTTTCCAGGCATGTTGAATTGAAAATATTTTGGTTGTTTCTTGACCAATAATTTAAAAACTATTCAAATTTTTTTCTACATTTTGATTAATGCATATATCAGTGTATAGTTTATGGCTGTTTCAAGAAAGTACGGATATGTTAAGAAGGTTAGGGGTTGTAGCCATAGTGAATTCAGTTTTGGATAATAATGGGATCCAAATATCACCTTCAGTATCATTTTCACAGAGAAGGAAGTCCTGAAAATAAGACTATATCTCAATTACTTCATTTATTTTAAAAAGTAGATACCACTTTGGGTATTCATACTGTATCTGGAGTTTTGGCAGTGCTCTGGTGTTTTGGTTACAAAATTCTTACATGTACAGAACTGCTCAGGAAGTTAGGGAAAAAACCTACCATCTAATTTTTAGTCAAAATCATAGTTGAATTTTATTTAGCTTTGTTCACAAAATTGTCTTTACTGACTTCATTAGGTCTTGATTGCTTTTCATTGAGTCATGAATGGTAGAATATTACTGGAGTTTCTAAATGTATTTGTCAAACTTTCTCAGTGAAGGCCCTTGCTTATTGCCAAATTTGTCCTTTTGACAAAAAAAAAAAACCCTAAATCAGACACCTTTAGAAGGGGATCTTACATCATTACAATTAATGATAAAAAAAAGAAATTTAGAAGTCCTGTAAATAGGAGTGTTTAATCTAAAACACTGCTGTTGTTTTTGAGGGAATAAGAGCAGAACTATTCATTTTTAACATGTAATTAAAAGCAGTGTGGATTCTGAAATGTTGTTCTGAAGCTGAATTGAAGAGAAACCCTGGCTCTTGATGGAATAAATCCTCAAGCTGGATAAAAATTTCCTTAGGATTGCCTGCTCTAGGGTAACTAGTGCTGAGGTGGAGAGACAAGAAATGTATTACTGTGTTTGCTAAATATGCTCATTCTCTGCAACTGCCTTCAAATTCCTATGTTAACATACTCTGCCTAAATATTGCATGTTAATTGATTTGCTAAAAATTAGTTACTAATGCAACAGTTGCTAATGCTACATTGAATGCTGTTCTGTGTGTTTTCATGAATAACTGATGTGTTTGCAGTTTTTTTCATTCGATTAAATTGAGAAGGATTTGAAAACTGGTGGATTTAAAATGTTTTGTTTATATAATGAGGTTTCCTAAATTCTGAAAAGAAATTATGAGAAATGATAGCTAATATTGTCAGGCACTGAAAGTATCTTTCTTTTGAGTAGGCTTAGTGTCTCCTTGTTTTATTGTGCAAAAATTCTTGGACTTTTCAGTGAAGTATTTTTATCCATTCCTGTGAAGCTCTGTTGGAGAGGTTTCTAGTTTGAAAAGCAAACTCACTATTAATAGGCCATCAGCATTTTTAGTATTGCATCAGTTTCCATAATGTGCTAAGCAGTAGCTACCATGATTTCAAAGACAAAGATTTCCTCTAAGACAAAAAGCATTAAGTGAAGAAAGTCAGAAAGTCAGATACAGTGTACAAATTTTAGAATTAATACTAAAAAAATCGTTTATGGCACTCATTTTTATTCCCATTTAATTCTTTATTCATTTTAACAAATCATGCATGTACCCAATGTCTTTCTGTGTGCCAGAAAGCTGTCTTGGACTGTCCTAGTCGTTGGGGAGACATTATTTCTCTATAGACCAGCAGCACCAGCTATTAGGTCCATCAGCATAAAGGGGATACATTCTGTTCTACTTAGCAGTGCATGCTGGAAAGCTAGAGTAATTCCTAAAATGCCATAATGCTTTGAAATGTGGATTTCTCCTCACTGCTCAGCAAGAGAAGTTGGAGTCTTGTTTTCTTTTCTCTTTTTTCCTTACCTTTAAATTATATTCAAGTATATTATAGTTAAATGCAGAGTGTTTAGAATGTCAAAACCAGGTGATACACATGCTTATAAAAGGTGCAAGTAAAGATGCCTGCTGCACTTCAGCTTTGAGAGACTTTTCTGATTTTATCTTACTGAAGAACAGTTTTTCCTATCTGAACAGGTGCAGATCTCCATTGGTAGAGCCTTGTTGTATGTCTCTGTGTGTGTGCCATGTACCTGAGGCTGAGGTGCTTAAATAGAGTGTCCATCTCAGAATTTCTGTCTTGGTAGACAGCCTAAAAGCCTCTTTGAAGTGGGGTGGTGAGCAGCTTTCATCATTCAGTTAATCCACATGCTCCTGGCTAGAGCAAATGTCCATCTGTTTTTGAATAAACTAAGTGTGCTTGTGTCTCTTGTCAAGTTAGACGGCATCCTTTGTACTTGACTGACTAACTAGCAGGGTCGCATTCCCAAGAGGAGTACATCTTCTGCTGTTCCTTTGGTTTCAATATGAGGTGTGTTGCTTTGGTCTTTATATTCACTCTGAAAGTTAACAGACAAGCATAATAAGAATGCAGTTTGCACAGTACTGGCTCTGGATTGAGTAAGATAGGGTAGAACTGTAGTTAACCAGTGTGAAGCAAGTTACTTCCAGTATTTTTCTCACTATACTGTAGCATTTTCAGTAAAAAGAATCTATAGAGTCCTCCTTCTGTCCTTTTGGTTCATATATTTGCATGTCTGAAGACAGATTAAATTAGGGAAAATATTGCAGGACTAATTGGGGTATATCACCACAGAGAAGGATAATTTTCAGATGATGATGATTTTGGTGGGAAAATAAGATGTAGTTAATACCATCCTAAATGGTAAATCTTGTATCTAAAACAACGTATGTTTCCTTTCTGCTGCGACATGTTTTGTCTTCTGCTGTACAAATTCAGGAGGTAGGGGATGTAGAATAAACTCTTTTTCAGTGTGTGTCAAACTTTCAGATGCTCTCATAGTTCTAATTAAATGCATCTCTTCTTTATGGGATAGTGCAGATTGTGACTCACTGTTCCCTCCACTGTTACTTACCTCCATTACTGTTGCCTCAGGTAATCCACAATCTGTTGCTGTGATTCCAAGAGGACAGATGAAAATTCCTGGTAGCTGCTCTTTTTGTTATGCAGTTAAGTCAGGATGATGTCAGCACTGTTACAAAAATGTCTGAAGTGTGTTAGCAGTATTTTGACCTTGATAGGTACCTTTGAACAGTTCTAAGAGTTACATTACTGTAAATCTGTTGCTTAACTTGGGACTCTTGTGTTGGCAACTTAGCTACAAATAGTTTTCAGGATCACAGAATATGCTGAATTGGAAGGGACTCATAAGGATCATCGAGTCCAACTTCTGGCCCTGCCCAGGACCATCCTCAAGAGTCACACTGTGTGCCTGAGAACGTTGTCCAAACACACCTTGAACTCTGTCAGGCTTGGTGCTGTGACAGCTTCCTTGGGGAGCCTGTGCTAGTGCCCAGCCATCCTCTGGGTGAAGAGCCTTTCTCTGATATTCAAACATCCCCTTACACAAATCAGGCCATTCCCTCAGATCCTGTCACTGGTCATCACAGAGAAGAGATCAGTGTTTACCCCTCCTCTTCCCCTTATGAGCAAGTTATAGACTATGATGAGGTCTCCCTCAGTCTGCCCTTCTCCAGGCTGAACAGACCAAGTGACCTCAGTAGTTGACGTAGCTACTGTCCTACCTGTCTTTTCAGTATTTCTGTTAGAGCAAAGAGAAATCAACACATGCCTTTTTCTTAGTCACTGCTCCTCTGACATGGCAGCAGAAACACGGTGAATAACCAGAGGAAAGTAGCATTTTAATGGTTTAGAACAAGGTGTATAGAGTTTTGTGTTGGAGCAGTTTATTATGGGTAAGATTAATGTGATTAAATGAGTGAAGACTTTTTTATTGTAACATGGGAATACAAGGTGCATCTTACTTTTTACGTGATGAAGACATGAAAATATTAAAAAATGAATGCACAGAGTGAACTGGAAAAACATACTTTTGATTTTAGACTTCTATGTATAATCAGTTAAACTTGCTACAAATTGTGTATTTTCTGTTAGAGAGCAACCCAAAGATTACTTCATGTCAATGTGATATCACAAGGGTGCATTTTGCTGCTTCACACTCTTCTTTTATGATGGACCCACTCTAGCTACAATATGGGAAGGACAAAAATATCATTGATTTGTTGGGAAAGAGGAATTGACAAATATAGTTGTACTAACGTAAAGAAATAATGTTGTTGGTTATTTAAAAAAAAAAACAAACAAAAAAAAAAAAAAAAAAAAAAAAAAAAAAAAAACCCCAGGTAAAAAAAAAAAAAAAAAAAAAAAAAAAAAAAAAAAAAAAAAAAAAAAAAAAAATTTTTTTTTTTTTTTAAAAAAAAAAAAAAAAAAAAAAAAAAAAAAAAAAAAAACAAAAAAAAAAACCACCAGTGACTTGAAAAGGTACAAAAATATTTGTAATTTCACGTCATAAAGAGAACATAGGTGGTGTTTGAGTTTTTTTGGTAGATAAAAAGTGACTTGAATCTGTTCTTGCTCAATCTGTTCTTGCTATACGTTAACCCTCTGTATAAGAGTAGTAATGTAATTATGTCAAGTCTTCACAAAGTGTTGGAATCTGTCTCATGCAGAATGCATGATACTGCATTTGTTGGTATTGCCATATCTTCCAAAAAGTCTGGGATGAAGCCTGTGATATGTACTCTACAAACACATTAAAAACATTCTTCCAAAATTTTGGCGCACATAGGTTTAAGATCTTTCTTTTTTCAGATATACTGAAAAGAGCTTCTAGTGTTATTTTTATGGTTATCATTTTCACTTTGCCTAATATTCACACTGATTATGGTATAAATTTCCTTTGCAGTTTACGTGTCAACTTGGACATGGGTAAGGCAGCCTATGGGTGGATGATTATGAAAGATGACAATATTCCTGGAACAGTTGTTCGAACTAGCACCATACCAGAAGAGTTGGGACGATTAGTTTATTTACTAACGGATAAAACAGGTATATCAGGTTATAATTCTGAAATCAGATAACTTTTATAAAATTTCTAAATGTAATTCTATGAATATGCTAATGTAAGAGTAGATTTAGACTACTGATTTTTGTTTCTCAATAAAATTTTACACATTTGCTTGAGGACTTTTACAAGTACCAGTAGGCTTGCGTAGGTCAGTACTTAGATGTTAAAGTCAGTATTTGGTAGTACTCTCATTTATTCCAGTGGGAACCGCTCTTCTATAGCAAGAGGATACTGTACAGCATGAGTAAGAGTACCATATATCTTCCTCGGAAAAGACTGTGGAATAGCACTCAGGATGCTGGTTTATTTTGTACTTCATTGCTACTGCAATATTGTGTGATAATAAGTTAAGAATAGCTTTTGAGAGAGCAAGTAATTTCCAAAACAAGTCACGAGATCAACCTCCAAAATGATAGCTGTTGCCCCAGTGAAGTTACTTGCTCTTTATGTTACCAAGACCAGTTCTAGAGCTGCTGAATGATTTCACCTTCATAACTGTACCTCATCTCGTGTACTGAAATCCCCAACCCTTACCAGGATCTGAAGGTAAGTACTGAGAGTGTGAAGAAGTAATAGCTTGTGTTACACTTTCTTCTTTCTTTCTGAGATTGAATAAATAACTTCTGGTAGATATGCATGGGTTTTTTTAAAGAAGCTTTGCTTCTGAACAGAGAAAGTTGTTTCTCAAAAAATTTGAAGAATTCTTTTACTGGTTTTAAGTAAAATATAGTTCAAAATCATAAAAAGCTGCTGGGGAAGGTAGGGGTTGGCCTCTGTTATACTGCTCCTAAAGCATAATACACAATTTATATCTGCTTCTGTTTGATATAGTTCTCTATTCCCTCCAATGTTAACACCTTCATTACTGCACATTTGAAATGAAGTGCAAATATAATATATCGTCACATTTTCAAAACATGCTTTCCTTTTTTCTTCTATAGACACATATGATATCCTTTATACATCTGAATATTGTTCTTCTACTTTGTAAAAGGAAAGTATATTGCTAATTATAGTGTGGCAATTCTTCAGAGCAAGTGAATGATTGTTAAAAAAGTGTTATTTCAGTTACCTAATGATTTGTATACTATTTGAAACTGCTCATTGATTTTAATTGCACCCTTCATCATGATAATTTATGTAACTTTGAGTGCTGTCACATTGAAGACTTGAAATGTGTAATTTACAGCATATGTTTGGAAAAAGTATGTTCAAAAATAATTTATTTTCAAAACAATGCAGTAAAGTTAACTTACAAGGTAAATTCTAAAGTTAGTTACGAAACACTACTTTCCAAGCAAAACCAATGTAGACTTTTTAAACTTTGCTGGTAGAGATTCCACATTGTTGGTGTTCAGCCTCAATGGCTTTTCAGAGGACTGAGGTCTGCTGAACTCTGGTGGAAGATCTGAATCTGTACAATAATGATGTAAAAATGAAAGTGAAGGCCAGTAGTTTCAAAGTGTTTTGGAAAGAAGCACAGGCAGCAGTCTCACCATATGCGTTTTTACCCAAGTGTCAGCTGAAAGCTCATGTAAGTGAAAATAAGCCAGGAGTCCTGGAGACATCACCAGCTTCACACCACTGACTGTGCCTTGCAGAGATGGGAAATACTGCTCTGTTTTCATAATCATAAGGGCCTCACAAATTTTAAACTGTTCTTCATTCTGGACAAACACATTGACAATGTACCTTTTACCCAAGTATATTGGTAGCTGCTTCCAGTTTCCTTTCCTGAACACATTTGTTCTCATTATGCATTTTATGATAAATGTGAAACATACTGTTAGGTAATGAACAAAGTCTGTACTCTTAATCCATGATTGACATTGCATGATTATACAGTTTATAAGAGCTGGTCTCAGCACTTTCTCATTTGAATTTTCATTTCTAATCATATAAACCAGTTGATTCTGTTCTTTTGCCCACTTAAGGCCTGGCTGTCAGAGGATAAAGAAGGGAGTCAGTTTTGTAGCCATCTGCCCAAGCGGGTGCTACCAAAAAGCAGCACTAAAAGCCTGATTTAGTTAAATATAAACAGGTGAAGTTTTTCTCAATACTGAAAAGGAAAGGGAATCTACAGAACTGTCTGAAAAAGTCTTATATTGTGGCCCAGTCTTCACTGGAAATGATTGAGAATTAGTTGTTGAGTCTAAGGAGCATTGCATTACTAACATAATTGCAAGGTAGTCCTTTGTATGATTGTAAATTGGGTTTGTGCTTCATCAATAAGCTTTTTGACAAGAAGCGTCCATCACAGTGGCTCTCTCATTTGCCACAGTATAATAGAAAATGAAGTATCCCAATAATTGCATTATAGTTTCCTTATTGTGGGACAAGAAAGCAATGTGGTATAATTAGGTTTGATTGGAGTGCATGTTTCCGGTAAGATCTGAAATTAATGATGTTGCTATAGTGACACATCTGCGGCCACCAGTGCGTGAAACATAAAGTAATTCATTCGACAAGAGAAGACATCTGTTAACTGCAAGGATGCAGAGCATATTGACACTGACCAGAAATACTAGACGTTATGTGATAAATGAACAAATGATGCTGAAACAGGAGGACAGATAATTTGTACTTAATCTGCTGGGAGAACTTTAATCTTCTCACTGGTTGCATTTGACAATGCCATTGTTTAAAGAACAATGCTGCAGAGAACTCATAAATTTTAAAACTTAACTCAGGGTGCAGCCTATTAAAGCAATACATTAATTCCTTTGTTAGGGAGTTTTTATCTTCATGTAGAACAAAGCCATTACTAAAAATACCCAGTAAAACAACAGGTTTTTTAGGACTCACATTTTAATTGTAGCATCCATTACCCATAATGCCACGTTGTTTGGACTTGAATCACATTTAAGTTTGACAGAAAGGCGTCATCCGTTATGATGGTGGGTAGCAGTTTCCATGAGCATGGTTTCTCATGCTCTCCAGGATACAAAAAATTCTAATGGAGAAAAAAAATTATATTTGCCAATATTTAATGAGAGGTTTTGTTTCTTTGGATGTGGTTAGAAATCCACCTGCTATTCACAACAACTACCGGTGTGTTCAGCTAAAACAAATGTGTAGTCTTCCTAGTGTAGTTGTTTGCTAATGAATGCACTTGTATTTGAGTTCTGTAATTAACATTTTAGTGGGTGTTTGGACCAAATGAGATACTTAACAGATATAATCATTGAACAGATGCATGGAGCAATGGGATTCTTGAATTTTTTGGAAAATCTGTGTATTAGAGGTTGGTGTATATGGACTTTTTTGTTAAATGTGCCTAATGTAATATACTATTAGAACAGTGAATTTCAGTAATTGTTTATGTAAATTAATATTTTTAGTTATACTTTGAGTCTTTACCTCTTCAGTGTAAGCAACTAGAGAGAAAGAATAATTTTAAAAAGTTGATGGAATAACATCTCCTTCCTTTAGGATCGATCTATATTTATGCTCTGCCTCTAAGATTTTTAGTACCACTAGGTTTGCAGGGTGAGTAGAGCAGACTAGAAATGAACCGTTTTGATGGCGACATCCTACAGGAAGATTCCAGACTAAGGAATCCTTACTTTTTGTCTTCTGTTGGACTCCCATTCACTGAAAATATCCAGCAAGCATGATGTTGCTCTTACACTGCTGAATACAGAGGTATTGTGGGAGGCAGAAGGCACAGAGGAAATAGGTACTGCTCTTCACAACTGTGTGCCACAGTTTAGGAGTGGTACTCCCTAACTCAGTGCCCTCAAGTTGCCTGTTACCTCTACTGTGACCTTCTGCCCAGGAAAGATTAGGCTTAGCTCAGCTCTCTTGGTCTTTGTCCTCGTTCTTAATGGGTTGTACCAGGACTTCCTTGGTTTGAGGTTTATGTAGGTTGTGTTCATGGCATACTCAAATGGAGTAGCTGAATGAGCAGACATATGCTATGTATGCTTACCGTGATTTTTTTTTTCATTTTCTTCTTATATTATAGAACAGATTATATTTTTTTCCAGGGTTCATAGGAAAAAATATGTATTTTCAGATTGTTGTCAACAGTCTTAATTATTTGACTGATTAGGCCTGATCTCCCTTAAAGTTTCCATAGAAATGGTCACATTTACACTGACTTTTTATCTGTTTAAGCAAATAGCTTGAACAAAGTGCTCAAATTGTATGAAAAGTTACTCATCCTCTTAATTTCTCACAAAGTTACTAATTTTTCTGCTGTACAAATTTTCTTGCTTTTTCTTGTTTTGGACTTTTTAGATTGCTGGTATTGGTCCAAATTGCCAGCTAGTAATACAGGATCAGAATGATCTGCATCTGCTTCTCAGAAAACAGCAACAAAAAAATCTCTGCTGCTCTGTTGTGAATCACATCTGTTGCCACCCAAGAAATGATGCCTTCAGGACTTTTTCCTTAGAAATTAATTTCCTCTTTGCCTGCTTTACTCTGTGTTTAATGATACAATAGTAGGAAAGAAGGAAAAAAAAAAAACAAACAACTCTTGGCTTCAATAAAGAACACACTAAATTTTTCTCCAGCAATTCTACATTAACTTTTTTTGTCAAGCTATTTTCCTTGTGTGGTACCTGCATTCCAGAGCTAAGTTCAAGAATGTATAATAGTAGTAATAGATGGTATTTTTACTAAAGTTCTTTCCGGAAGCCTTTCTAAAGTAAACGGTTTTTTTAAATCTAATAACTCTTCGTATTAGCAAAGTCCTGAAAATGTGGAATTGATAACTAGGTCTTTAAAAATATTATTAAAAATAGAAAGTTCCTTCCCTGTTCTGTAGTACTTACCACCTTGAGCAGACTGAAAGAGCTCAGTTTTGTATTGTTTTTCTTGTTCAAAAAGTGGGCTATATTAGAAAATCTGCCTCTAGATATTTGAAGAGTTTGCATCTGGGGACATAAAATACAAGACATGTTGTTCTGTCATAGAGTATTAGTCTTCAACTAAAATTTAAGGCAGAACTGCTGGTAAAGTTATAACATGACTGGTTGGCACTATGTAATGTATGGAACAAGTTGTTGGGAAAGTTTCTGTCCCATTTTGGCATTTCTTTAATTAGAAGAATTTAGAAGTGAATTCTTAATTTGCACACGTGATGAAACTTTATTTCCATGTGAATGGCTGAAAAAGGTGTATTTTGTTAAGGTGGGGTTTTTTCAGAATTTTTTGAGAGTATTTTCATAACTTCAGCACCCCTCTTTGTCTAACAACACATCAGGTTTATTATGGCTGTTCTTGAAAGTCTTACTCTAGTCTTGAGAAGCATGAGGAAACTGGAATTGTTGCTTATTTTCTTTATTTTTGTTTTTGGTTGTCATAGATATTTCCTACTAACATAGCTGATGAAAAGGATTGTGTAAGAGATGTATAAGATGCAAGTGTTGGATCAGGATTTCCAGCATGTTTATTTCCATGTCTTTGTTGATTCTTTTTCCTCACCTGTTTTTCCTAAACCTTCTTCCTTGGCTCCTGTTGATTGTAAGATAAGAAAATCCATACTGTTCTGTGCAGAAGCTTTTCTTCTCTGCTTGCTGAGAAAGAGGGGGCGGAACACGGAAATTTTCCAGCCATCTACCTTCCCCTCGTCAGGCATGATATGGAGTTGGACTGATTTAGTGGTGTCAGAAGAAATAATCTTTCCATATAATAATCATAGGGCTAATTTTGTTTCCTGCTCAGTTTTCCCAAGCAGCAATTACAGAAATAGTGGGAAGCATGTTTGACAGTTGCCTGCTGTCTCACCTTTTGACTAGCATTTAGTTTCACAACTCCTAGAGAGAGATTTTTTAATTCAAAGGCTTGGCAAAGTCAAGGACAGTGAGAAGATATTAGCACGCCTGGAAAGTTTGGAAGGTGATAAAGATTGGTTTGAAAATTTCTTGCACTGAATATTTTTGCACAGTGTGTGGGTTTTGGTTTTGCTTTCTTTTAGAAATGGAGATTTTAGTTTCTCATATTTATTGGTGGAAATTTTCATGTTTCTAATGTGCAAACTGGAGATTTAATTTTTCTAGACTTGAATTAAAGTACAAAATGTAATCAATTTTAATAAAAGGTCTCAATAAAAGTACAGCTTCTAAAAGTAGAAAAAGTGGGTTTATGTGATTACTGTAAAACAAAATTTCATTTTCCCATGTATGAAAGTAACCAAAAATTTCCAATTTGCTAATTATAGAGATCTGGAACTTTGTGTTCCTGGGCTGTTTTTCAGCCTTGGGAATGTTGAACTTCTCATGTAAATTTTTAAGAATGTTATGCATATTTTGTAGAGAATTTATGCATTTCACATAAACCTTATTTTAATTATTTTTTAAAATTCAAATAATATAATTATAGAAAGAAAAATCCTCAACAACAAGTAAGGAAAAGCAAATGGGAAATGTAGTTTTTAATGGTAAAGGGGGAGTTTGGAACAAACATCTTGTGCTGGTAAAACAGAAACACAGGGTTTGATAGTGCAGTGTGGTGGTACAGCAGTGGAGATGAAGTGTCACTGTGCAGGTATCGCCAGGAAGTGGGAGTGGCAGACATTTCAAATGCAACTTGGAAAGACATGAGACTTTTACAGCCCTAATGAATCTTTGAAGATCTCTGATATTTCTAGCCCTGATAAGTGCATAAACTGGATGCTGACTGGCCAGACAGTGTTGTTTTGCAGATAATTATAGCATATGTCATGCTTTTAGTCTTTTATTCTCTTGTTGCTTAGCATGATTTTGGCATACTAGGATAAATATGTGAAATAAAAATAGTTAAGGTAAATAAAATAATTATGAAATATTTTATTCTGCAGTATTTCTAGATAATTTTCTTATACTCCATTTAAAAAATATTGTGGAAGCTTCAAGAATGTCTGATCTGGTACCATGTTTGGTTTATTTGTTTATGATCAGACGTATGCATTTTAATGACACAAAACTGTCTGGTTAAATATAGGAATAGCTTTATACTATTTTTATACTTGCTCTGCCTGAGTAGCCGTAGGGAAAAATTTTAGGAAGAGGCATAATCAAAATAATCTTTTCTGAGCTCACCATGGAAAGCTAGGCAGTAGTGACCCCTTTCTGCATCATATACCCCATTAGGCAAGGCTGAAGCCCCCATCCCTCAATTAGAGGTTTTCCACACCAGAGGACATGACTGGTTGGCAGAGGTGGATGCAGTGTCAGTCTGACTGTTTCTTGCAAATGTGAAGTGAGCACAGAAAACACTGATTTTGTTCGTTCTGCCTTATTCTGCTTGGAGGCTGGATCTGTCAAATTTAGAAGTAATGTTAGGTCCCAATGACTTAATCTAGATAACACTGACACCGAATGTGCCCAATTGCCAGAATGTCTGCCTTGGTACATGAAGTGTAGAAAATTTGTATGAATTTTTGGGGATTCCTGCAGGGGGTTTTTTCTTTAGATTTTCTGATACATGGTGCAAACTCTTGCACTGGCTTTTGAGAGTCAGCCATCCACATACTGCAAATTCAATTTTTTTTGTATAAAAAGAAAGGTTTTATCTCTTCAGGTTTTTGTATTTAATTATTGGCAAAATCAGCTTGCAGGTGGAACCAGTGAGTTCTTCCAGAATGACTAACCATGATCTTTCTCCACAAACGTTCCTTTAATTAAGTAAATTGATGCTAACTCGTGATTAATTTCTGCTTTCCAAGGGAAAGATTATTTTTGGAGGGTGGGGAGAGGAGGTGTCTGTGGCCATGTCATAGTATTTTTCACTGCTTTGTGATATACTTCTCCTTTATTACAGGAACACTTACACAGAATGAGATGATATTTAAGCGCCTCCACCTAGGTACTGTTTCCTATGGAACAGACACAATGGATGAAATACAGAGTCATATTATAAACTCTTATTCACAGGTATTTCATAAATCATTTTCATTTCATATGGGGGGGTTTAACAATATTGAAGCATTGTTGTTAATAATTATGTCTAGAATTTGAGATGCTATGAAAATTGTCATGTGTAGGTATCTCTTAAGAAATATGATGGAAGGGAAAAATATGAGAGAGTACATAGTTGTCTCCTGATTCCAAAGTTCCTCAAAATGCCCACTTAAAGAGATTATTTTTCTGTTCTTCACTAGCAGTAATCTGTGTTAACCTGTCTGTGCAGTGCAGTCTTTCTCCTGCAAAAGCATCTAAGAGTAAGCTATTCATTACTGAGACTACAAATTATAAGGAGGTGTCCAGAACAACATGAACAGTAATTATATCTTTGAAGATACTCATCAAGAATATACATCGAAAAGCCACATTAATTGGTATTACCAAATGGTATATCAGTAATTGTCAAAATAAAACTTACACAGGTATATTTAAAAATTCTTTTTCAAAAAATTAAGATGATTTCAAACAGCATAAAAATGGCAGGGAGAAAGCATGAGAAAATGGAAAACTCCATATTGTTTGATAACAAAGTGTTCCTGTGAGGTATAAGAGTGCTTGGTCTGGAAAGCATACAAGAGGATTGTGACTCCCTGCCTCTGTGTGGGTCAGTTGTGGGATTACTTGCATTTCCCATGTGTTTGGGTGCTTGCTGCAAACTTTCCTAAACACCTGATTGTACTCTGAGATTGGAATGAACTTTGTGCTTTATTTTTTATTTCTACTCTTTGAAAGAAAAAAATAAGAAAATTTACAGAAGAGGCAACAAATGAAAAGTTAACTAGTATTTCCATGTTGTTTACAGTATGACAACAAAAATTTATATAATTTTTTTCCCCCATAGTTAACGTGGATACACAAACATGACTGCCTACCCAGTGTCCTGGTTTATGGCAAATCTGGGAGGAAACCTCTGAATGGGATCCCTTTAGAAAGCAAATTCAAACAACCCCTCCCCCACCACTGGTTCTAGAAAGATTTCCTTGGAGAAAAATGGAAAAAAATATGTTTATTTAACAAGCAAAGTATTCACAAGCATTAAAAAATGAATAATAATAAACTATAAAACCTCTCCCTGTTCCGAAGAGATGGCAAATTCAGAAAGTCCTTTTGTAGTTCCAGGAGAGTCCTCTGTGGGTATTTCTTGGCTCACTGAGTGTGTCTCAGTCCCTCTGGTGCTGGAAAATGCCACATCCCAGGCCCCAGTGGGCCACAGGCGTGAGGTCCGGGGTTTTTTTTCTGGGTTTTTAGTCCAAAGCATGATTGATCAGTTCCCAGAAAAAGAAAAGCCACAGTCCAGGGAAGTTCTCTGCCTCAGCTAGCTAAAAACTAACTAAAAGCAAAGGAGAGCTCTGTCCTGCTGTCTGTCCATCAGCAGACAACACAGTCCATGAGAAGGAATGAGAGGGAGCAAGTGCAGTTTCTGATAACAAACTGAGCTTCTTCTCCCTCCCTTTGCTCTCAGAACCAGTCTTAAAGGTGCAGAACTTAATATCCAGCATGAACAGAACAGACAGTTGGGGATACAAGCATCATATAGTCACACTAGGACACCCAGTTAAGTTTGTAGACTGACCTCCTTGTCTGTGTCCTCATTTTCTCTCATAGAAGAACTGTAGAATCAACAATTGTTTGGAATATCTAGCTGTGCTGTGTTGTAAACTATGGCTCCCTTCTTATTTGCTTTAAATAAAAATAAAAGTTTAATTTAATGCCACACTGGACCCAGTTAATACTTTGTAGCTTTTGGGAGGAGAGACAGGAGTGAAGACAGTGATGAAGTGTGTACATTTTAAGTTTGCAACTTAAATTCTTAATTATTTTCTATCTATACAATTCAACAAATCCCCTTCTTGAATTCTTTTCCTTGGATAAATCTATTTCAGCTTAATTTTTAGTAGGTACAGCCATGAATAGTAAGTGAGATACAATAATCATGCCTTGGAAATGGGAAATGGAGCTCTTTCACTTAAAGATCAGCTATCCAAATTTGGTTCAGAATGTGTTACTGAAATTACCTGCTACTCACAGAGTTTATAAAAATCACTCAAACCTGGCATTCTTATAATGTGTCATTTGGGTATTCACAGTAACAGCTGTAGCAATAAATGGTATTAACAGGCAGTCTTGAGCTGGCACACCTTAGTCTGAGTGAGTTTGACAGCTAAGCAACAGTCTTCTAGGAGAGGCATGCTCACAAATACCAGTTTTATACTTTTCAGTTAAATATGGTATCTGAAAATAATTGCACAATTCCTGGAATTCTTACTGCTTAAAAGTTTTAATAATTTACTGTAAAATTTAATGAGTGGCAACCATGGTTATGAGTTTTTAGTGACTGTAACATACTTAAAATAAGAAATGTGAGGCAAACTTTTCTTCTCAGTTGTGGGAAAAAGATTTCCAAAGTTTAGGTTTGCTATTAGTAGATGATGAAAAGAACTTTCTTGGAACGTCCTTTTTTCAGCTTTATGTAACACTACTCTATGTTTAAATAATGATTTATAAATAATGCTTTAATTGTGCTTGTGTTAGTAGCAACTCGTTAGAACAGTGATGGAGTCTCAGTAACAAACCAAGCAACTGCTAAACAATTGTTTCAATCTGAAAAAGTATGGTGAGGTTTTTTATTTAATCTATGATAATAGAAACTGCCGGTTAGCTAGGCAGTGGTTCTTGTGTGACATTGATTTTATCCCTTGTTTGTGTTCTGTTTTATTATTACAGTGGACCTACCAGACTATTGTCATCTTAATGTAACACACAAATCTATTATAACCTGATTATATTTCCCCACTGGAAGCATTTTGTGATAGAGGGCATAATCTTTAATGGAATTTGTGTGAAATTAAATTATACAAGCATCAATAAACATAACATAATTCAGAAGGAGTAAATCAGCTTAATTTATTTGTGACTGTAATGGCATCAGTGTTAGCAGAATGCAAATGCAGAGGTTTAAAGCAGTAGCTGAAAAGCAGTGCCAGATGAGCAGAAAGTTAAACCCTTTATTAGACAACACTGTAATTTGATGGGCAGAATGTTCACAGTTCAGCAGATTGCAGTCAGGAGGAAAAAAGCGTGGATTCTGAAAAGGTTTTCTGAGTTACATGGGAGTGAAAAGAAGAGCCCTGTGGTGGTACTGCTGATATATTTAATGTGCTGACTTTTAAACAAAAAAACAAAACCCAACCAACAAAAACCAATAACACCCCCCCCCCCCCCCCCCCCAAAAAAAAAACCCCAAAACTTATTTTAACAAATTATGAACATATAGTATTTTTAGGAATATTTTTATTCCGTATCAGAGGAAGATTAGCTCAGTCATGTGCTCAAGCATTTGTGAAGGATAACTTAAAACAGTGCTAGTTTAATTGTTATGCAACAGTAATATGATCTTCAAGTGTGTGTCAAACTGTTATTTTGCATGATTATTTTATTAGATTATTGCATTCTTGTAAGGACAAAAAACATTTCAGCTGCAGCAAAAGAGTAAAACTGCATTAGTTCACAAATAATACAGAAATTGTGTTAAGTTATAAATAAAATCAGCAATATTTGTATTTTAATTACCCCTAATATTTATGCTTGAAAATGTTCCCTGATCTCCTCTTCTTCTGGTCTCTCCTGATCAAATGTGGTCATCTTTTAAAATACTGAGATTTAGGTGATTTTTTTTTTTAAAGGGGTTCTTTTCAGTTTAATAGCACAGGTGAAGAAGAATAACAAAACAGTAAATTTTGAAATTTTGTCTCAGTGTTTCTGGACTCATCCACTTTTTTAAAAAGGAAAAGAAAAAATAATTCACTGAATGCAATAGACACAAAAGGCCTACTGTGACAGATCATTGAAAAATCTGAAGTGAGGTAGCAGGTTTCTGCAGAATCCGATCAGCCTATTCAGCCTGTTTCCAACATACTTGTTTTCTTTTCACATTTTTCAATTGTCTTCAGGCTCTGTTATTGAAATTTGACTACAAGTGCAAGGTGATGAGCCCATAGTTACATATAATTTCTTAAAAAAAGTAGATGAGGCTTTTTATTTATCACCAGCTGAATGAGTTAACCATAGGTATATAAAAATAAATGGATGCTTACTAGCCTTATCGTTTATCAATCTTTGTAAAGGGAACAGTCAGATATACATAGATAAGTATTCATGTTTTGTTTCCATTTTTGAACTTTGGTTTACTATTCATTGTGTTGGCTCTTAAAGGTGCATTCTCAGAGCAGTGGGAACAGTACAAGCTCAACACCATCCAGAAAGCCTCAATCCTCTGCACCCAAAGTGCGGAAGAGCGTCAGCAGTCGGATACACGAAGCGGTGAAGGCCATTGCACTCTGCCACAATGTCACCCCTGTGTATGAATCCCGGGCTGGTGTGTCTGCAGAGACAGAATATGCAGAAGTGGATCAGGACTTCAGCGATGAAAATCGAACTTACCAGGCTTCCAGCCCTGATGAGGTTGGTAATGCAATGCTGAAAATATTTATAACTCCTAAAGAATGGGGTAAACAAAGCAAAAAAGAGAAATGCTGGGAAAAAAAAATATTTTGAGGTTTCTTTAAAATTAGTAGTAATCTGTTTTTATATTTTCTACAGCTTAGGAAAGATCTGCTGGTTCTGATGCCTTGTATAAAAGTGTTTTCAGTTACTTGACTTAAAGACCTGTGAAGTCAGTGCTTTGCAGTCAATACTGTATTGAGGATTGCTATTAAAGGTTTATGATTTTTTATTATTATTCTCAAAACATTAATCCGTGTGTGAATCATAGTATGCTATTAAAGGGAATATGGAACTGTTCTGAATGATGGACAACCTGTTACATTAGTTAGAGATGCTATCACATACCAGAACGTACAGATTCCTAACAGGAAAAAACAAACAAACTAAGAAAACCCCCAGAAAGAAACAAACAAAAAACCCCATCAAATCTTGAATGCTTCTGTAGAAAAGTTTTTGAGCTTCAAACTCTAGGCAGCTTCATAATCTTTAGGGTTCTTTCAAAATTGCATCAAGTGTAGCGCAAATTTAAAATACCATTTCAATAAAAACATGCCTTTGAGTTTTACTGAAATCCAAATTTTAAACAAATCCCAATGCTTTCACTGGATTTGGTTATTGTTCTGAATAATCCTATTCTAGTCCCTAAATTGATTGCCTAAAATTCAATCTAAAAAGATAGTAGAAGAGAGAAGCAAAGCTCATGTTGCAAGACACTGCAAAGAGTTCACGTTATAATAATGTGTGTAGTTGATATAGTAAAAATGAGAAACAGACTGTTTTGAGGTTGGTTTGCATTTGAAAGTGAGCGGGTTGAGAAGAATCTTAGTTTTCAAGAATTTCTAGCATTTTCTGAAGGTACTGTTTTTGTTGTAACCCCAGTAGCTTAGTCATAAATAAAATAAGGTTTTTGTAAGATGTGAACAAGGAATTATGTACCTGAAAGCCTGTATATTTCTCTAACTGTGCAAGTTGATCTCATACAAGATAATGTTTCTTTCACAAACTTCATCCTACTACATGGTGTATTATTCATGTATACATTTGGTTTTCATGTCTAATATGTCACCATTTGTAATGCTAACAAAACTTAAGCAGTTCACGCTGCAGGTTAGCATTGCTAAAAGTAACAAGTCTGTAACAAGGGTTTTTAGGAATGCAAGAGATAAAATTAAATCTGTCTTCATGTAGTAACAAGCTAGCAGACATTACATACCTTTCAGATGCCATAAACACAGTTCATAGTGTCAAAGGATTGTAGAATACAAAGAAGTGGCAGGTTCTCCGTGACTAAAAAATGGCAGTCAGAACAGTTTTAAAAATAAAATTCTTTGTTTTTAAATAAAGAGGGAGGACTTGAGATGCTGATCTTTGGCTAAAATCAATAATCCATAATACTGTACGTGGTGTTATGTAGTGTGAGCTGATCCACATTATGAATTGAGAATCCTGGAAAGGCATTTGTTTATGCCAGAAGAGCATTTGTTTATGATATATATTTGTATAATGTTTGACTTGTATTATGCACAAGTGAACAAATTTTCATCTGCACATGCATTCATATTTACTTAATGTTTCAGTTTAATGAGCCTGTGAGGTACTACTGAGTGTAATGAATGACTGCATGAGCAAGGATCTGACTATGAAGATATGATGACAACTATAAATTAAGTAAATATTCTGCTTTAACAGCCAAAGGTATTACTAACTCAGGTGAAGAGGTGTGCATTTGAGAGAGACTATGTGAGTTTTTCCTCCTGCTCGCTCCTCTCTCCCTGTGGGCTTTTGTATATTTGATCAGTTGTTTGAAAGCTGAAAATGCTACCAGGAAGAGCAATTCTCCTCCCATATTTACTAAAGAAAGCAGCTGTAAGACTCGAGAATTATTCATGCGGTGCCCTGCAAAGACAGTAGGGAATTTGACCATGGAAAGATGAAAGGAAGGAAAGGAAAGTTGGTAAAGTGCTAATATAATAGATCTGGGACTCAGGGTGGAAAAGGAGGTAGAAGAAGAAATCAACAACAAAGAAACTGTTCATGCTGCAAGGGAGATAATGCACAGATATCGTTTTAATAATGATTTTTATATCATTTCAACTCATACCTCAAAACTATATGGCAGTGAAATGGAAAGTTTCCATTCTAAAACAGGCTTAAATTTCGTTTGTGTTTCTCAAAGATAATGCTTGAAATACTAGTAAAATTATCATATTGAACAAATATGCTTTTATATAATGAGAAATTGATGTTAAATGGCGTCTTATAAAAAGTTGAAGCTACAAAAAGCATGTAAACAGCATAAAAATTGCAGCATGACAGAAAAAAGCCTAAGAGTTGAAAGACTAGCAGGTCTTTATCATAATTTTTTTAAGACTTCTATTGATGCAATGTTTGCAAATCACTGGAGCCTAAGGAAAATAATGTAAATGGTTCATTATTTAGCTTATTGAACTTTCCTGCAGTTAGGTTGACGGATGATGCCAATGTTTCCCAATCACCAAAGTACCATTTTAAAAGCATTTTTTATTGAATAAAGTGCTTTGAATATTGCACCCTGGAGCTTTATTTAGGGAAATGGTTCAATTGATGTTTTCTGTTTAACCTCAGCATTGACCTATCACAACATACTTGGTTAATAAGCAACATTATCATTTAATAGACTTAACTGGTTTTGTGCATTGTACTTTCTCCATATTGCAACTCTGTTCTCTTAGATTTTGTTTATGGATTGGCTTGATTGCGGTCTTTTGAAATGAGATGTTATTTGCATAGTTGTGTGTTGCATTATATAATATTGCATGATCACACCATAGGATGTAAAGAGCAGAGAACAGTATGTAAGTATGAACTATTCTTCCATGTGGGAAACTATTTCTTCCATGCATAAGAAACAGCTCAGCAATATGCTGACTACGCTACACACCTAATTAATTGACTTGAGAAACTTTAAATTCCTCACATCTGTGCATATATGTGTGCATCCATATACAGTTATAATATAACCATAACAAAGTATGCACATTTAGAAGTAGGTACATTCATCATAAAAGATGTATTTATTCATTGTTAGAGTAACCTGAGATAAGTAACTGATTTTGTATTCATAATGCAAACCCTACTTATGCCAGGCTCTTTGTTTCTTATGATAAGTGATCAATATTTCATTTTCTCTGAAAGAGTGGAAAGTTTCATTTGTCTGTCACTTGTCCTCTACAGCTGTAGCATAGCAAACAATAAACATTCACTGAGAACCCCCTGGATGGAAAAAAAAAAAGAAAAAGGAAAAAATGCCACACCAAAACTCAGCTTCGACTTTGTCATCATAGGTGTGGGTTCAGCTCATCTGTAGAAAGCCGGCTACCTTAATGTAATGAACAATCATAAAAGGATATAAGCTAAGTAGGCAAAGCGATAGAGTTCAAAGGTCAGAGACCCAAGCAATTCAGGGCATGCTATGAACAGGAGCCTTTGAAGACCTTTGCTCCCCTTAGTCAAAAAAGGTTGATCAGTCATGATTTTTAATGACTGCTTACTCTCATAAACCAGCCATTTATTGGTTATGCTTTGTCCTGCACTGTTATTGTCTCAAGCATTTCTAATTCCAGGATCTTGAATATTTAAATACTGCCTTAAAGTGTGGTCAGTTGTTTAATTCCAACGTTTCTGTCCAGAGACAACAGCGTTGCTAAAATTAATTACAAGGATACAAAGCAAATCATTTAAAAACAGACAGGGAAATTATATGCCCTTAGTGAAGCAGCTTTTGTGTTTACAAAAGTGAAGCTGTAATGTATGAGACGTGTTGTATTGTTTAATTCATTTTATTGTGTGTGCTTATTGAAGCAAGACTAATTGTGTTGTTTTGTCAATGTATTGTGAAAAGCAAATCACTCAGTAGCATAAAACCATCACTTGCGTGACCTTCGAAACCTACAAAGAATAACTACTCCATAGCTTGTCTTGAATATTGATTGGTAGTTTTTTCACATGATCAAGCTGTATTTTTAAGTTAATAATTTTATTTTAATTATGAAGGGTTTTTTATGAAAAGTGATGGACTGCAAATGTTAGTTATGAAATCATTGTTTAGAAATATAAACAAACCACTGATTGGAAACAGATATGCATTATTGAACACTCCTGATGGAAATGGTTGGAAACATTCAGGCAGTGGGGAAAGGATAACTCACTGCTTCTTTTCTGTTTCCAAAGCAATAGCCTTAACTTAAAAATACCACACTTACAATGTTTGAACACCTTATACAACAGTTTGATTTTGAAAACAGATCCTATTGTCTGAAGTGATGCTCTGAAAGAAATACAGGTGGGTTACATGACAATTCTTCCAAGCAGCAAAACTAGCTTGCAAAATCTCTAGTCCTTCTTTCTTATCCTACATATTGCTCCCTCATATATGCCAAAACCATTGAAGGCTTTATTTATGCAGGTTCTTTTTGGTTAAACTGGTCAGGTTCATAGCAGGGCTCCAGGAAAGATGGGAGTACAACTGTGGTGGAACTCCTGAACTGCCCTGTGAGGTAGAGAACTGCCAACTGCAGCCACGAGGCAGTGGATCTTTTTCTTAAACTAACGTTAGCTCAAAAGAGAATATTGTACATATTGAAAGTGACAATTTTATGTTCATAAACTGTTTTGAGCAACAAATACTGTAAATGTTGAGCAGTTCAATATTTCTGCTAGGGAGCAGAAATGATAGTCTAGGCCATAAGGGAAGGAAAGCAGGAGCAGGGCATGATAGCCAGGCTGCTAGAGGCTGTGGCCTTAGCAATGAGGTGTACAGCCCCACAGGATCCAAGTATGGTGAAGGGAGCATGTCCTGTGATGGAAACCTGCAGTCAAGAGTATTATTGTACAGGTGAACCCTAACCCTGTGCATAAGCTGTTTGGTTTGATTTGGTTCCATAAATGATCATTTCTAAACAAATGGGATGATAATGTCCCCAAAACATGGACATGAATGGTGCTTTTGAAGTGTCACCTCTTCATGGCCCTCTGGAAATATACTCGTTCCTCAGGCGACTGAGTTAGAAACACACTCCTACTTAGAGAAGCTGCTTCTACCTCCTGAGCTGCTGCTGCTCTAGGTGGTGTTGTGGGTTGCACAGTTAGTGATAGATTTGGGAGACTTTCCTTATGAAATCACTGAATTTGAGTGGAAATCTCTGAATTTGACTTTGAGTGGTAATTGCAGAGTTTGGTATTTGGATCTGCAAACTATAGAAGCTGAGTGTTGGGTGGCCTTTAGTGGGGAGACTGCTGACAGAAGCAACCAGAGTTCAAGAGTGGGCATGTGGTAAATGGAAGCATCTAAAAGATTTAGGGTAAGAGCACTAAATGAGGTGTTTCTCACTAGTTCACATCAGATGTGTTGCATTTCTGTTTCACAATGCAATTATTTGCTCCTTTCTTTCCTAATTTGGAAGCTGCTTCTTTGACATTATCCTGTGAGATGTGAATAGTCATCTTTACCCTTTGGGTTGTTACTGAGGAGGAAGAAAATTAGCAAGTTAGCAACCACAAATCTCTCTTTGCCTCCATGTGCATTACCTGCCCTAGGAACACTACACAGTCAGTGGGTTCACTGCATACCTGTGCCTCAGACCATTTACCCACCAACATGCTTATGTCTCCCAGGCAGCTGGTTTCCCTAGAAGGGAAGCTTTGTGATAAGCCAGAGAAGATCCATAAAATATTCAAATAAGTCCCTAATCTGGATTCAGGAAACTTGACACATTTCATCTGTGTTTGTATGTCAAGCAAATTAATGGTTATCTGCAAATAAATATTATCATTGCAATGGATTCTTTTAAAACAAAATGGTAGCATCACTGTCAAGCCTTTTGTGTTGTCCAACCTTTAATTGCTTTATCTGACTTCATCCATTATGTCAAGCTCTGTAGAAGCCACAGCTGCTGCATTTTCCTGGTGTACTAGGAGTTCTTGATTTAGGTACAGCAGGTTGCATGACCAGTTTAATGTAAAGGTTCTGAAATGTATTGAAGAGAAAAGAATATATTTGTAGAGGGGAAACCTCAAGAAGGGAGACTAACCTAAGAATCCTTTTTCTGAACTCTGTATAGCCAGCCTTTCAGTATATGTGTATTTATTAAGATTTGTAATGTAGATGTTCATGCCTTTTGTGAAATACTTGTTTAGAAAAAAAATCTACGTTCTAAAAGCTTCAGGTATTTAATGGTAAGATCTTGCTGTGTTGTTTTGGGTGCTGCTCTGATTCATTCTGAGTGATGGGAGTCAAACTTGTCTTTCTCTCAAGTTTTTTTCAGTGTCCTTGTAGGCATCTGTTTGACTCTTGAGCCTTATTGACTGTTTCTTGTATAGTATTTGCCCTGATCAATTTAAAAGAAATAATAAATATGCAGTTGAGTATTGGCCAGGTATAAGAATACAAAATGACTGTGCTACAAAATGCGAATTCAAGTGGTATGTGAAGCCAAGCATAAGTATAATAAACAGATTTGACTCACTAAATATAGAACACTTTAGTCCTAGCTGCAAAGGGACACAAGATGATAGGGTTTTAGTAGAAAGATGCAATTTACAGGTCAGAATGTAGTAGTAACCCTTCACTGTGAAAATTGAAAATTAACCCTGGAAGTACTGGATCGTTTACAGCTTATATGCTACTTCTGGTAAAGAAGAAAAGTTTGTAAAAAGGATTCCTGCAGTTTCCAATAATTTAAAATGGTGCTTTTCAAAGTGTGCTCTGTTCTCTTCCATTACTGCATCTCACTGTATTTTCATCTGGTGATGCCTTACAGAGATGGCATTACAAGGGTTTTTACAGGTTCACAGAGGATTTTATTCCAATTTTAAATTTTCTTAGAAGCTGAGGTGTTTTATTTGCTTTGTGTGAAATTCTTAGTGACCATTATGTCCGTTGAACTTACCTAGGGAATTTTCTACTTTGCGTGTTTTTTATCAGAGTGCTTGATTTTTATTTTTTTCATCTTGCCTGAGATTAATAGCAGAGCCTATTAATCCATAAAAATCCAGGATCCATAAAATCATGTGAACTTCATTATAGTTATCTTTCCAGTGATTTAAAAATCTGGTTTCCAGTAAAGATTAGCATTTGGAAAGCTAAAAGCAGATTAAGGAGAAGTTATTTTTTTCATCAGAAAAAAAAAATAGATATGGAATGTGTCTTGTATATAAAACAGTAAAATCAGTAAAGCAGTTTTCCTAAAATATTAATTTTTTGAAGGAATAAATCACATGGTGATGGTGGGGAATACTCATTTAAAGTATAATATAGAAAAATGTTAAGCTAGATGTCATTCACTTCAAATCAGCAAAATTTTGGTAAAGGGACTTTCCCATGTGAGTTTGTAGGATGCAGTATTGTAAGTCTGGTTTCCATCTTATTTGATGTCAGAAGTCATATTACTGTTAAAACAAAGTATTGAAATTATGCAAGTGAGCAAAGTAAACTAAAAATAAGGTCCTTTGCATACCTATTTATTATCTATTGCATTGTTTCAACTTGCATGTAACTGTAGATGTAATAAAATATTTTATATTGAAATACTCCCAAGGAGTTTTACTTACATAATGGTATTGTTGATATAGAAATCGTCTTCTCATTTTGCAAAATTTCTGCTCGATGTCCTTGATTTATTGTTGAATGTATGTGGTCTTAATTAGAATAGTTACTTCTGAACAATATATTCAGAATACCTCATTTTCAGCAATAAGTTCAAAAAAGTTTTTATATTCTTCATAAGAAATTTTGTAAGCTCTTCAAGGGAAACATGTAATTTGATGTGTTAATATTTTATACTCAGTCTGCTGCTGTTCACTTGGTTTTTTCCCTAGATTCTTGGAAGAGTTTATACTTTCACCCTAGCAATAGTTGTTTGGTTTTAACCTAATTAATATAACAGTGTCACAGACCTCTCACATTTAAATATGTCTCTTTTTTCCTTTTTTTTTTTTTTCCCTTCGTTCTTTAGGTAGCTCTGGTGCAGTGGACAGAGAGTGTGGGTCTCACTCTGGTTAACAGGGACCTGACCTCAATGCAGCTGAAGACCCCTGGTGGACACATCCTGACATACTACATCCTGCAGATCTTCCCATTCACTTCTGAGAGCAAGCGCATGGGCATCATAGTTAGGGTAATCTGGGACACTTTCTGGCTGTTTGGTTTGATTTTTTTAAAAATGCTGGCAGATCAGACTAATTCACTCCTGCAACAGACAGTACCACAGAAATTCATTGATTACATTTGCTTGTGTGTGGATTCACTGAATATGCAGTGAATGTTGAATTGTTCAAATGTGTAACAAGCATATATATCAAGTTATTTGTAAATTTTTAATTACCAGGTATTTCAAAGATACAGAGCTTTCTGGTTTGGGTAGGTATTTGCCACCCAAGAAACAAAATACAAGTTAGAGGGGACATAACAGTGATATTTTACAATTCAGTTTAGGGATGCTGAGAATCTCTTATGCTTGTTGACTTTAGTTAGAACTGGTCCTCTTACATGGAAATAGCAGACGTATCTCAGTGGAATCAGAGATAACACTGGAAATAGTAACATCAAGTAATAAAACCTGCCCACTTCTTGGCAAGGTACTTCATCTTTTATAAATGGGAACCTATTGAGTGCTTCAGAAGGCAATTAAGTTATTGGTAGGTCATTGTTTTGACTTTATAAACAGATATTCCTCTCCCCTCTCCCCACCCCTTCCCACTTATTTTGTAAAATTTTAGGATGAATCTTCAGGAGAAATTACATTTTACATGAAGGGTGCAGATGTTGCCATGTCTACTATTGTACAGTACAATGATTGGTTAGAAGAAGAGGTAAGAAAGAAAATCAGTGTTTACAAAAATTAAAATTTTATAAAAATTTAAAATCCCAAATATACCAGATGTTATTGGGATATGTTTAAAGAACAATCTGAGGCAATGCGGTAATAGATTTTGAACTTCAGTTATGCGTATCCTGAATGGATTTTAAGGCATTAAAACTATTTCCAATTCCTGAGTAGCATACAAGAAAAGCAAAGCTGGTAGTAGTAGCAGGACACGTTCCTACTTAAAACAAGGAAAGTTGTTTTTCATTGACTGACCTTTCACATAAAACCTAATTGCTTCTGAGAAGTATTCTGCTATAAATCTTTTTATCCCTTGTTTGATCAAAATCTGCAGTAAGGTATGATTATGAATTACAGACTTTGACAAGCATTGGGTCCAAACTACTTTTTTTTTACCACATTTATTACATTTCAAATAAAATAATCAGTGACTGAATTTCAAACCTAATTAATATTTTTCACTATGTGTTCTAGGAGGTACCAGCAATCATCTTATTTTTGACCCTACATACAGCCAATATGTTAATACAATGATTACACCATGTATGTTCATAATGGTATTGGCAATATGAATCAATATCTGCTGCAGGGCAGTTTGATTTATTCAGGGACATGAATAAATTAAACTCCCTCAAGACCTAGCAAAATGTCATAAAAATTACTTTTGGCGATAATGATGCACAATTAATTGTAAAATACTTGTTTAATTTATTTAGCTTTATGAGGTCAAATCAATAAGTGTTTGCACTGGAGAGCCTTGTTTTTCATTAAGACATGCTATTCCATGGCTATTTTTAATGTGTAGATGCTTTTCTGATAAGGGATAGGTTCGGTGAAAAAAGAAATGTAACTCTGTTATGTACCTCAAAAGTAGTTTTGATTTATTTTAAAGCTTCAACCTAAAAGAAATTTTCTTTAAGCTAGGAGAGGAGATCTAATTGACTTACTGATAACAAACCACTTCATTTGGGAGACCTGAAGTATAATTGCTTTTCAACCTGTTTGGGGCTTCTCCAGAGTATTTTAAGAGTCTAAAGAAACATCAAAGCTACAGATACACCATGTTAGCATAAAGTATAAAGCATAAACACAAGATTAAATATTTGCATAACTGTTCTGTGCTTTGGTTCATTTAGTGCGGTAATATGGCACGAGAAGGACTGCGCACACTGGTTGTTGCCAAAAAATCACTTACTGAAGAACAGTATCAAGATTTTGAGGTATGAAAGGACAGAGTGATCTTGCCCTTTATCATGTGTAATTACTTCAAGGAGAACATCCCTCTATTTTATTTTCTAAGTTTGAAAAAAAAGATTATTCATATTTAAAAAATAGATAATTGAGGTATTGTCCACAATCTCTTAAAGTCTTTGTCACTTATTAATGATGGTTCTACAGTCATATGTAGGATCCTGTTTGCTTTATTATTGGATTGGACAGTTTTTTCCCAGAAGCTAATGTAATGTTATTTTTGTAGCTTCAGCATGACCTAAAAAAAATCTACTTGTTCTCCAAGATAAGGCCTTTCCTCCTTAGAAGCTGTGATGCCTAATTCTTAATAGATCTACAGGAGGCATTCTCTTTAGGTGCATTGTCAGAAGAGCCCTGTATAACATTGGGTGTAAAGTAAAATGGCTCCTTTAGTCTTGTTCCTCATTAAAGATATATAAAGACAAACATTTAGCCTAATGGATCCATGCTGTCACTGAGTGGTAGACTGAATGTATACTTTATGAGTCGTAGCAAACTCTAAGTGGTTTTGTGTTTGTGCAAACAGAGTCGCTATAACCAAGCAAAGTTAAGCATACATGACAGAAACCTGAAGGTTGCTGCTGTTGTAGAGAGTTTGGAGCGAGAAATGGAATTACTGTGTCTCACTGGAGTAGAAGATCAGCTGCAAGCAGATGTTAGACCAACTCTAGAGATGCTAAGGAATGCTGGAATAAAGGTACTTAACACATATTGCTGACATAACAGCTTATCATTTATTAACTTTTTTAATCAAGACATAACATCTATTTGTCTGTACTTTGGTTCTTTCAAAGTAAGAAATGTGTCAAATCCCAAGCCCATTCTGGGCATGAACTAGCAGAAACAAACAAGACACTGTGTGCAAAGTTCCCTTGCCAACAACAGATTTCATCAATCCCAAACTTACTTCTTTAGGAAAACTACCAATGGATAGATGTGTGTGGCTCAGTCATTTATCCCCTGTCTGTCTACAGTAAACTGTCCTTGCTGACACTAAATGAGTTTGACCCAGGATTTGTGTGACACCAATGTTTTTAGGTTTGGCGCTTGTAAGAAGTTTCAGCAAAGACCAAAATGTGAATTATTTGAACTAGAATTCAGAACTGCCCTTGGAGTTTGTTCAGTTCATGTTAAAGGGATGGCATGAAAAGCCATGCAGAAGAGTTGGTTTGCTGGACACCTATCAATTGCACATATACAAGTAATGCATTTATTTGAGGGAGGGTTTCAAGTAAATATATGAACAATATCTGAGGGGAGGGGGCAAGATTATACACATTTTTCTTTAAGCAGTGTCAAGCTCTACTCCAAATAGTTGTTATGACTTTGCATTGGTTAAACTAAGTCAGACACAGTGGGATATTTTGCATATGCTGCTTGTGCTGGACTTCAGCCCCTCCATTATCTGCTGGAAGGGCAGCTCAGGAGGGCAAAGCAAAGCAGGAGAATTCTGGAATGAGATGACAATAATTTCCTTACACTGGTGATTGAGTCATCTTACTAACTAGCCATCGTACTAACAAACCTTCTTGGTGTTAAGGGCTGAGAGAGCTGTCACACATTGGGAATATAACAACTTTATCCCTTAATCTCTACTGCCTTCTCAGTTCTGCATGGTCAGTGGGCAGGATCTCTTTGGAGTGTTGGGACTGTAGCTCATGCTCCAAGATTTTCTGTCTCATGGTTTGGCTGCTGCTTCCCGAGATTATCACCAGAGTCACAGACTATTGTGTTGCATCATTTTGCTGACAAATGTCATCTGTATCCTCACTTTTCTGATCAAGGTAGTATCAGGGCCATAGGGAAAGGATTTTGTGCTCCCCCAGAGCTTTACTTTGTCTTCATACACATTGTGAGAATGGAAGGGGAATGGAGCTGCAAAAAGTAAAGACAGTTCTTTTCTGTTTTGCATACTATTGCAATAAAAAAAAAATGTTAGTTAATTTTACTTTAAAATGCACAAGTCAGTATATTTTCTTGGATAACCTAATCCAAAAAGTTGCCAGAGAAAAGTTGGAGAGAGATGTCATTTAGATTTGGAGAACAGACGTGCTAATGTCCGAAGAAGTAAACTCTTACATTCTTTTGCAGATATGGATGTTAACAGGAGATAAACTGGAGACAGCAACTTGCATTGCAAAAAGTTCTCACTTAGTGTCTAGAAATCAAGATATTCATATTTTCAGACCTGTAAGTATAGTTCTAACTTTTTTTGTTGGTTCATCAAAGGATGGCTAATAGCAGTGTTGCTGTATTCAATTAGTAGTTGGCTGGCTGTTGAAAGTTGTTGGGTTATTGTACTGAGTGTCATTGTAATGATCAAGAGAGTAGTACTTAGGTTGTTATTCAAGGCAGTAAAATCACAAAGCATTTAAGGGTGTTGTTTTCTAGAGTTGTTGCTGTGGTGTAGAAATGTTTGTAGCCATGTGTGGGTGACCCAGGTTCAACACACATTTTACACCCTTCATAAGAGACATAGCAAGATACCTCTAAACAGTGATGGACAGGTCTGTGTGAGGTGAGGTGCTGAGCCACTAAGAAACTGTCCATATATTTAGGCTGTCTGAATGTCATTCTTGCTTGTTTTAGCATTTTCATTGATAGAACTCTTTAGACTCAAGCAGAATTAATCCTGAATGAAACTGTGAACATCCCCTATGTAAACAGAGATCAAATTGGTATGAGAATTTTTTTTCATGTCATTATATATATGTGCATTTTACCAACATAAATAATTGTTAGAAAAGTAAACTGAATCTTCTTCTATACATTTTATATGTGTACTATTCACTTGACTGAAGCCAAACAGAAATAGATTTTCCAGACATTGATTGATGCTGTGTGATCAGACATAATGCATCTGTTTGTTCTAAATGAACCACTTGCACCTACAGAAATAATTATATGAATATAATTTACATGTAAATGTATTTTCTTCTGAAGCATCAGAATGGCAAATTAGACCCTGCAGACTACTATTTGCAATTAAATTATTAATGCTTCTGATAAAACTTCAGATCAATTTTTGTTGACCTTTCCACATTGTAACACCACAAATTAAGTCTTCCTGAACAAAATGTATTTAGTTGAGTCAGATTTTTATTTTCATTACCTTGACTGGTAATAAGAGATCAGCATAAAACTGTGTTAACTTAGAATATGCAGTTTTAAATTAGTTAGAAAACACATTTATACAAAATTACTTCTGTGGCTATACTTGCTGCAAAGAAATAATTACTGAATTAATGTAAGAAAATATCAAGCACTATAACACTTCTACTGTAGTTATAAATTAGAAAGATAAAACCTTTTGCTACTCTCTTTCCAAAAAGCTGTGTTTTGTTTTTTACAAAATTGTTTATTCTTAGAAGTCTCAGTTTCTATATGTAATTCTGGAGGTATTTACAAATTTAAAAAAAAAAAAAAAAAAAGCATTCTGTTAGGTTGAAATGTAGAACAGAGAGGAAACACAGAGGAAAATCACTGCTCATCAGTGTGCATAAGTGCTGACATCTCTTCATCTCTGCAATGTACTAGGCCAACAGTCTGGTGTACCTAACAGCTGTCAGACAAGGAGATTTCTCTTTTCATGCTTAATTGTGGAAAAGAAGGAAAAAAATTCTGCACTGGGGCATGTGTTTTAGTTTTTCTTTGTGCAGGGGCTTTTTAATGTAACTCAAATTTTATGGGTAGTAGAGCCCATCTGGAGAGAGAAAAGTTCTTTGAACTGCATCAGGTTGGGTAGTAATGGGTCAAGGACAAAACTTCACATTCAATGTAATTAAGACAGAGACAAAATTAAAAGTGTAATCAGAGCTTATGTTTTATTCTGTGCTTGGAACTTTGTCTAGCATGATAGCTCTAAAATACATTAATATTTATTGGGGGAAAAAAAAGAAAAGGAAAACCAAATTAAAAGAAAACTAATTTTGAAAAACCAAAAAAACACAAAACAAACAAACAAAAAAAAAACACACCACCACACCCAAACCTGCCAGTCCCCTCAAAATCTGGTTATAATTTCAATTTTTCATATTCTGTTTATAGTTCAAAACCTTCTAAAATGCATTTAGTAACATTTGACTGTTTTTTTGCATTTCACAGCTGGGCTTTTCTGAAACAATTATGTAAATTTAAAAAATCTATGATGTAATTCTTTCATATTATGCCACTTGATCTTGTCTTCAGAGTTAAGCAAGATCCAAACAGATTAGTACTAATGAGCATCCCTTTCTGTCCCTTTGAAATCTGTGTCTGGTTACTGAAACTGAAGGAACAATTAATAGGAACACTTTATGTTATTCTAAGAGCATATTTTGCTGGTTAATAAACAAAACAATTGAGGTTTGCTTGGGAAATTTTTCTGTTTTTCTCTCGACCTGCCAGGATGAAAAGACTCAGGCCACCTCAAAATTCAGATATTTTAATGTCATTAATTCAGTACTATTTTAGCCCTTGCGAACTTTGGTGAGGAACCACTTAAGCCAACGACATAGATTTTACTTGTTTGAGGATTACTCTTTCACTTCATAAGGTTTGAGGCTTATAGTAAAATTCCATAGGTATTAGACTTGCAATGGGATAAAACCCTTGAACCAAGGCTTCTGGGTATGAGGTCTCAAAACTTGATTTGTTTAGGCAGGGTTTTTTAAAGAATATAACAAAATCTTTTAACTGAGTGTTTTTTATTGAAGGTTGTCACTCGAGGAGAGGCTCACTTAGAACTAAATGCTTTTAGGAGGAAGCATGACTGTGCCTTGGTGATATCTGGGGACTCACTTGAGGTAAAAACTTGGTTTCTGTCAAATTATTTATATGCTTATGGTCAGAAAGTAAAGTATCAGCATCTTCACGCTCTTTTTTAAAGTATTTCCCCATACTTTTAAGTAGTCCTTAGAGACACTTTTGCTTATCACTGAGTGTGAATTAGATTATATATGTTGTAGATGTGGAAATGTTACTGGATTCCTAGTCTTCTGTGCAGTAATAGAAATGGAATTTGTATACAGCATGCTTTGGTACTGTCTATTCTCTTAACCTCAAAGCACGTTGCTGCTCTATTCTCTTTGATTTAAAAAATAATAAAGCCACAGTCAGGAGAATCTTTTTTTTTTTTCCTCCCAGTTGGATGTTGTACATGGAAAACATCATTAAAAAATCTTTATACTGTGTTTTTGTGTTGGGCTACATGTAATAATATTTAATCGTAAATAAATCCAATCGGGTTTTTTTTTCCTCAGGTTTGTCTGAAGTATTATGAGCATGAATTTGTAGAGCTGGCTTGTCAGTGTCCTGCTGTAGTGTGCTGCCGATGCTCTCCCACCCAGAAAGCCCACATTGTGAAACTGTTACAGCACCACACCGGGAAACGCACATGTGCAATAGGTAACTCTTGGCACAATCCCCCTAGTAAAATCTGTAATAAATGTAATCAGCAGGTGGCACCACAAAGAAATAGCTGAAACTAAACCAAAGAGACTTCTTTACCAACCTTTACCTGCAGCCAGGTATTACATAGCTATGGCACAAAATGCCATTCCATGAGAAAGGTGTGGTTATCTTCTCTATTCTGCAGGAAATCTTGATTACTGAAGTAATTAATCATAAGTCATAGATTAATTGTAAGAATTTAAAGGCATGTAAGAGGTTTCTCAAATACTTTAAGGCTAGGAGAATGAAACCTCTGAAGGACTGAATATTGCAGTGACATTTTTCAGGTGATGGAGGAAATGATGTCAGCATGATCCAAGCAGCGGACTGTGGAATTGGAATTGAAGGCAAGGTAATGTTAACAGTTTCATTGTGAAATGTGTGTCACATAGGGGCCTAGTAGAATGTGATTAGAAGCTTTATTCTTAAACAATAGTGAATTGATCATTTCTAATTAAAGTATTCTGCAAGATTACAAGAATGCTTAGTCTTTAGTATTTTTGCTTGTATGTCTTCTGCTTTATCTTTTTAAAAGCAGGAAAAATTATAGTTGTTTCTGTGTAGCATTTACCCAGAAGAAGCAGGAGAAGCAATTAAACTTATTTGTTACAGCCCACTGCATCTTAGAATATGCACAAAAAAATGGTCATGTCTCATTGCAGGGTTGATTTTCAAAGAAGGAACAAACTTGTCCTTTAAAATTAATTGTTGCTTAGAATTTTGAAACTTGATACACTTATTTTACACTGGGCTTCATATTTGAAATATTTTTCTTTTTTTCTAGGAGGGAAAACAAGCTTCTCTAGCAGCTGACTTTTCTATCACACAGTTTAAACACATAGGTAGGCTGCTGATGGTACATGGTCGAAACAGTTACAAAAGATCAGCAGCACTTGGTCAATTTGTCATGCACCGAGGCCTTATTATTTCAACTATGCAGGTATTTAAAACTTTGTTTTCTGAATAGTTAAATCCCTATTTCCGTCTTTGAAAAGTCACAAAATCTTAACCAACCAGTATTGTTATTTTTCTCTATATTGTATTGTTTTGTATATAGAATTGTATTAAATAATTAATTATCTGCGTTTTCTAGGCTGTATTTTCATCAGTCTTCTACTTTGCATCTGTTCCCTTGTACCAAGGATTCCTAATGGTAGGGTAAGTCAAAGCAAGAGTTACAATTTCTGGTAATAAATGCAGTGAACTAACTGGTTAAATAACACCATGGGCTTGGTGTCATCCATGTTTTCCACACATTTTTCATGGGTACACTACCAAAACATGGGATGAGTGTACCAAGAAAAGTCACAGTAGGTTGGATGTGCACTATATGATGGGGGAAGTACCTCAATATCAGTTCTCTGGAGAGGGGAATCTGCATAGCCTTAGAAGAAGGTACCACAGAACCTGTGCACATATAAGGTAAAAACAATAAAGAAAATATCCCAGACCAGACCAGCTTCAGCTGTCCCACAGATTAATGTACAAAGCTTAGTGAGAATCACAGGGCTTTGTGTTAAAAATGGAGCTGAAGCTACTATGAAATTTCCTCTGAGAGTGCACTATCCAACTTTGCCACATAGATTTCCATTAATGTGAATATGTGCAGCATTAGGAGCACCTTGGTCATGTTGCAGCAGCTGGTTTACTAATAAGGTTCCCCAAGTTATCCAGCTGAGAGATGTGCCTGTGTTTGTGTTTGTCCCTGTTCTCTGTCCCTATGACCTAAGAGCTTCCTTTTATTCTCCTTGTAAATAATAACAACTTAAATCAAGAGTAATTTAAATCTTAGTCAAACCACAGTCTGATTACACCAAACTTTGCGAAGGCAAACAGCAGACCTCTCTACAAGATTTGCAGAAGTTGTGCTAAGTTCCAGGGAAGTACATGTGAAAGTGTGTATCTCACATGGGTACAATAAAATCCAAAGCCACTTACAGAGCTGTTAAGACTCTCATTCATCCACCTACCTTCTCCACATTGTCCAGAATTTAATGCCCTTTTTTAAATTCAGTTTTCATGCATCCATCTAGAGATTAATTTAAATGTCAGGTCTTTGGACTGGTTGTTCAAAGTGCAAGTGCACAGGCAGTATGGTAACAGGTGATAAGCTTGGATGATAGAATAAAGAAATGTGTTTATTGGTTTTGGCTGTATAAGACCCCTGTAACTTCTCACAACTGACAGCTCTCAGAACCACAAGAGCAGGTTGCATGTGAAATCTGTGTTGGTAAGCTGCCTAAGTACTGGGAAAAATAATCAGTTTCATTTCACTTACATAAAAAGAATAATTGAACTCCATAGATCAGTTTAAACTTATATCATACACAAGTCTTAATGTGTGTTCTTCCTTTCTCCTAGGTATGCAACCATATATACCATGTTTCCAGTCTTCTCTCTAGTATTGGATCAAGATGTGAAGCCAGAAATGGCATTGCTATATCCAGAACTTTATAAGGATCTCACAAAGGTATGGATGTCCTCAGTGCTCAGCTATGAACAAATGCTAAAATCTCCAGTGTTTAAAACCGGGAATTGTTGCAATCTTTTTCTTAAGGTATTCCAAGCAAGACAGATTGCACAACTATTGCCAACTTCTGTACTATTAAAATAATCCACAGTACCAAACATTTCAATCATTTTTATTGATACATTTCTCCAGTCACCAGTGGCTGTACTGAAATAATTCAAACCTGAAGGTATGTTGATAAAGCAACCTTGGCTCTGGCCCCAAAATCTCTGATGTGGAGTTATTTATGTTTACATTTTCACATCTTACTTTTCTATTTTAATTGGTAGATGAGTTTATAGATTTTTTTTTTCCCTAACATGCAGAAGTTACTGCTTATGTCTCCAAAAACTGTGTTCTTTTAAATAACAGATATTTATAACTGTATATATCTGAAGTCAATCATCCATGGATACTGCTTTCTTTGTGTTTGTAAATACTTGCAAACAATCAAAGTTTGTAATTTTGTTACCCACAAGAGTGAAATAAATCTCAAGATTCTGTTTTAATAAGCTTTTTGAAAAGCACTTCTTCTTCATCCTTAGCTGTCAGCTAGGAAAGTTATGATCCAAGGCAGAAGCAGACTCCAGTTAAAGACTCTAGTCCAAAATTTTCTGAGTCTTTGTCTTTTTAATTGCACTAAACTAGCTATTACCTATGTTAATCTGGGATCATGTTTTTTCCTCTGTTGGAGATCTTGCTTCTTTCTCTGCTTGAGAATCTTTGAAGTTTTTGAGATTTCAGTCCTTTATCATACCCCAAAAAGCATGGTCTTCACCTGCTAAACAGAGCCATAAGCTTGCCTGTGGAAAGCTGTTCACAGAACTTGGAACTTGCTGCAGTAATGAACAAGTGCTGATTCTTGCCTGTTCTAGATTGATTTTTTTTTTTTTTTTGGTGGCAAAATGGCTGCTTTTTGCCACTTTATCCCTTAAAATGTGTACTTTTTCAACTCTTCAGTTCTAACATATTTCATCAGTACCCTCAGAGAATGCAAGACTCATATCACACGTACAGCATTTATTCTTTGATTTTTTGCATATGTTTCAGTCTGTACCATTCACAATCAAAATATTTAAAATTTATTTGGTAATAGTTACTTGCTGAAAATTTGCAGTAGTCATAAATTTATGCTGTGCAAGCAAATGGGCAGTTTATCCAACATTTAGAAGTTACTAGTAAATAACTGCAGATTTGCTTAAGGTTTTGGTCACTAGGTACAATGCTGTAGTTTGAAGACTACATTTTACAAATAAAAACTAAATGAATTTTACTGTATTTATCATTCTGAAAACTAGCCAGAGCATTGCAAGCTAAAATTGCAAGCTAAAGCCTTAACTTCCTACCCCCAAATTTAGACTTTGTGCGATTTCTATACAAGCTTGAAATGAAGAATCATAAAAACAAGTAGAACTTTGTAGCCTTATCACTTCAAATACTGCTTATTTTACTTGTAAAATGTTTCTGTAGCAATGAACTATTAAAAGTATATGAGCTGAGTAGATTTATTTTTTTAAAAGTTGTGTTTAACTGTCCTCTCACATGTTTTCCTTAGGGAAGATCTTTGTCATTTAAGACCTTCCTCATCTGGGTTTTAATCAGTATTTACCAAGGTAGGAGAGAGTCCTAATTTTGCTGAACTGAGAAATTTTTGTCTGCTATTAGCAATATTGTTTTTCAGCTGCAGGTTGAATTCCCAAAGCTTAGCATTTCATCAGTAGTTATATATATTGCTTTCTGTTTATCTCGTAAATCGATATTCCTGTAGTGTGCCAGACCTATTCAAAACACAGTGTGATTGGTATTTTTATTGGTGCATGTCGCCTAAAAAAGGACATGTTTTTAATTAAATGCTAATCCAGAAAAATTCTAATGAGTGCTTATCACATTGCTTGTATTTACACAGTAGTTTTCTTTCATTGAATGACAGAAGTACTGTTGAAGAAATCTGAATTATGTAATCAGTTGAAAGTAATTACACTTTCAACAATATCTCATTTATTTGCAGCACTTGACAAAATGAGGTTAATTAACAGTTCATCAGATATATTGCTCTAAAAGGTGTTTAATTTCGTAATAGTTTTATTTCTGTATGGCTTTACTTTGGTTGGCTTATTTCACATGTACAAAGTACAGTAAATATCCTTCTTTTAGAAAGATCAATGTTATAAAAATTGCTGGACAAATTTTCATAATGAGCAATCAAACATTCAGTGTGCAGTTGTAAAAACTGGTACAGTGAAATTTCACTGCAGGGTGTATTGCCAACCTTGTGTGCCTCTCCACCCCACCCAGGTGGTATTCTGATGTATGGAGCCCTGCTGCTTTTTGAATCCGAATTTGTACACGTCGTTGCCATTTCCTTCACTGCCCTGATCTTGACTGAGCTCTTGATGGTTGCACTGACCATACGAACGTGGCACTGGTTAATGGTGGTGGCTGAATTCCTCAGTCTTGGCTGCTATGTGGCCTCTCTTGCATTTCTAAATGAATACTTTGGTGAGTAAAACTACTTTAGCAAAGAACTGGTTTGTATCTTTAATCATGTTTTTTTCTTCCCTTTTTTCAGTTAAGAATAGGTGATGTTTTGAAATGCAGCTTTCTTTATAAGAAATATAATTGAGCCCAAATTAGGCCTAATTAGTGTTGGGTTAAAATATTCTCTTACCCTTTTCTCCCAGAATTCAACAATCTTTATCCTGTTAGTATGGTTTATCTAGATGATAAACTTAACTCAAAACACTCCTGCCTTTTCCATCCTTGGTCTGATATTGACAGTCCAAATTGTATACCTTAAATTGGCTTTGAGATTTGCACTATTGAAAATAGATATGGTTTGTTAAAAATCAGGATCTTTCGCTGAATAGGTGCATTATTTTCTGGACCAGGCCAAGTGGGTGTCATTAGATCTAACTCACAAGGCTAAAATTGCTGAAGTATTGTTAGGTAGTGATGCAGCAGCCTAGTAGGAAAGATACTTTACATAGGAACCATTGCTTCATAAGTATAGTAAGCTTGTATTAAGCTTGCTTTGCTTTAAGTTTTGGTATGCCATACTGTGCCTTAAGGTATTGATTGTTTACAGTTCACAAGATGAAAGAACACATTTCAACTGCAAATCTTAGCAGTCAAGAATTTGAGCATCAAAACAATACCTATTTCTTCTAGGATCAACTTATCCTTTAGTAAAAATAAAGTAGCTAGGTGTGATTTTACAAATGTAACTTACAGAAATATATGTAATAGCTTTAATTATACCTCACAAAGAGCAGAATCCAGCTTCTTCTCTGCCTTTTAGGATCTGATGAGCATGGAGCTGCCCTTCTTCACCTGTAACTTCACACAGCAGAATTAAGCGTTACATGGCAGTTTCTAAAAGTCTCACAATTCTGCCTTCACTCAATCAGTTCCCAGGTGTTCAGTGCTAGGGTAGTGTGTGTGCATTATATTATTATTTATGTAATTATTTATTTAATCAGTAAATGCTTCACTGCCTGTCCCAGGCATTCTGGTACTTCCAAGATTTCTCAGGAGTCAAATTTTAGTGAAGAAACAACCCTGCTGGGCCTGGTACCTCTATTGTACATTATTTCAGGTTTGCCAGAGCACCCTTTTTTTCTCTGACACTGATGCACAGACACATTAATAGAGATTATTGGGTTGATTTTTGAATCTCCACAGTCAAATTACAAATTAAAGGAAGAAACAAGAACAGATACAGGTACTTGCACTTGAGTGCAGGCTTCCAGGAACTTCATAAAGCAGAACTTGCAGCTTCACCTTTGAAAGCCTGTAGTATTGGCGACAGCCAGTCCTTCCTGGTGTTGTTCTGTGAAAAACGCTTTCAGATGATGTTCACAAAGGTGTAGAAACCACAGGAACTTCGTTTCTTGCAAACTTTTCCATAAAGGGGAGTGTTTCCCTCTCTGTGCTCATCTATTTGCTGGGCAAGCCCAACAGAGTCCATAAATGGTTACACAGCTTCTTGCAACCCAGGGACTTAACTCACTATTTTTTGTATTTGAGAGTACCGAAAAGGCTGCAGTTTCATGAGATTTTGTAAAGATGTATTTTACTGTGTGTTATTCATCACTTAATCTGGGAAAATGCCTTTCTTCTAGTCTCACTTATGCTTAATGCTTTATTCTTATTTAATTTGTCCCATTATAACTGCAGGGAGGGAGCTTTTTTGTGTATGTGATGCAGCATAAACCTAAGTGATGGTTTGCACTTCAAGATATAGAACAACTTCCATGGATCAGGAAAAATGGTCCAGACCAATAGTGCTTGACTTCACTTGCAAATAAACTTATTTCAGTGATGTTGCCTATAAGGATCATCTCCTTCCAGAGAAATTATATGATGACATGACACTCAAGTTAGAAAGGCAAAAATACCAAAGGCAAAACAGATACTGTTCTAGAGCTCTGACTCATGAAAGTTTTTATGTTTCTGAGTTAATTGCCTTTTTAGGGTGTCTGTGATAGGTTACATGGGCTTTCAATATGCCTAAGCAGGCTTAGGCTAAAAGTGCATAACAAGTTTATACATTGAAATTTAATAAATTAAGTATTTTAATGAGCAGAGTTGGAGCAGGAAAGCATTCCTTTATTGCCTTTTCTGAAGTGAATTTTCATTCACATGATCAAGTTGTTTATACAGTAAATTATACCTTGAAGTGAAATGTAAGAAAAGTGCCCATCTATTCACAACCTTAAAACATTACCAAATATAAAATTTCTATGTTTTCAAAGTGTTTTGATTTAATTGCTGCTTAAAGTAATCTGATTGATTATGTGAAAGGCAATACTAATCCAGTTAATGCTACTAACATCTTTTTCATCTCTTCTTTGTGTAGCTAACCTTTTGGGGTATGTTGTTTTTTTTCTTTGCATAACTTTTTGTATTTTCTGTAAATCTATCCTTTCATTTTCCCTCTTTGTGAAACAGGTATAGGCAGAGTGTCTTTTGGAGCTTTCTTAGGTAGGTGAAGTTGAACTTTTCTTGAAGTTTTGGGTTGGCCTTTTTTTTTTTTTTTATCTTTAAAGCTTCACTCAGGAGTAGCAAATTTCTTAATATATGCATTTGTAAATAATGGGAAAAAATAAAAGAAAAAAAACTCGGGGTTCCCTGAGTTCTGGGATCTCTTAATGATTTTTAAGTATGATCTAATTATCATCAATAGAGTCAAAAATTAGCAAGCATAGTGTGTCAGCATTCTTGTTAATTTTTTGTCATAAACAATTATCTTCTCCGTGTGGTAGGTAGCAATCTCACTACATTTTCCCTTGAAATATTTGGGCTCTAATTTAATCTCTATTATTTTAAGACTCGTTCAACATAGATGTTGTAAGAAAAATAATACAGAATAAAATATCGAAAGTAGCAAAGAAAAATAATACCAAATAAAAGATCCAAACTGGTTGGGAACTTATAGCAGGTAAAAATCATTCTTACTAGTAGAAAAATAAGCTGAATTAACTTTTTATTATGAGAGAGTCTTGCTTTTAAACTGACATTCTGTTTCCCCTAAAAGTTACTTCAGCTGCAAAACAATGTGAGGACCATAAAGGAACTCTGAAGTTCCTGTCTAAAAAAAATAATTTGCAAAAGAAAAGGCTGAGGTTAACTTTCTATTGCTTTATTGTCCTTTTTTTTTAAATTGGACAATCGCATAAGCAAACATTTAAGAGACTTCTGTTGACTTTGCACTGTGGAAGTTCCAGTTTCCATGTTACTGGCTCCCATTACTTATTTTCCCTTTTTGTTTCTGCAGATGTTGCCTTTATCACAACTGTGACCTTCCTGTGGAAAGTGTCAGCAATCACTGTTGTAAGCTGTCTTCCACTTTACATTCTCAAGTACTTGAAGCGCAAGTTCTCTCCTCCAAGTTACTCTAAGCTTACCTCGTAAAATTATTATATTCCTCTGGTTTTCACTCACACCAGTCTGCAGATTGCATATTCACTGTGCTTTAGTGTCTATGGATTCATGTTGGACTAAAGAAACTTAAAAAAAAAAAACAAAAACAAAAGGGATAATGTGAATAGAGCACAAAAAAAGGAGGAAACATCTGAGAGATACAATAACACAGAAGTACACTAACAACTATCAGAGATAAACTAAACTAAATTTTCTTTGTGTTGATTTTCATTTTTTCTTTCAGTTGTTATGATTATAAAATAAAACCAAATTACCTTTGATTTGACAATGCTTCTGAATGGTTTCATTGCTACTCTGAAGGATCTTTTGCTACTGTAAAGGATTTTTTCCAACTATATTTATCTTCTGCAAGTTAAATTGAAACTTTTGTTATTTATTACATAAATTTCCATCTTCAGTTATTGTATGACTTCCTAATTCAAGCCCTTTCTTTTAATGTTTATATATGGCAAAATTTATTCATCCATACTTACTCTAACAAACCTAATACCTGTAAATGCCTGTGTCTGTATTAGCAGCTATTATTCCTCATCAGACATTGATTAATATGCACTATTTGAATTATGTACTGATGTCTGCATAGCACAGTATTATTTTAGGAGCTGTTGTCCTATTCTGTACTCTCCATTTCTGGCACCAGTAAATTATAGACGTGTGATGTTGACAGCAGTTCTTTAAATGCACATTACAGCCAGGTTGCACAAAAGCTGTTTAAAAATTAAATTATAAATTCTGTACATAATTCCACAGCACTTATTGATCTGTACAGATATCAAAACATGGCTGCTCAGTAAATATGTTTTAAAGTTCTTATTCATTTTGTATTTGTAAAACTGCAAATAGTGTCAAAGTACATTTCTATATATGAGAAGTCCAGTAAACCTTGTATTAGCTAATATGTCTAAATTGCCTTGTAATCTGTTTACTTAGGTTACTCAGGTAAAAGAAAATAAGAGGAACACATGAACATCATGGTAGGAAAATCTATCATCTTCCAAGTTGTAAATGTTATGTTTTTATAACTTAGTTTGGGTGCAAACTTGTCAAAAAAAAAAAATCAAAACATTTTAGCTTGTAAGCTGTCAGAGTTGAGTGTCTTGGCTGAGTTATGACACTTTATCACAGCTGAAGATTTGTTCCAGAAACTCAAATACTCTGATGCAATCTGAAGGGTCCAAATCTTGCACACTGTACTGGCAAGTAGTATATATTAATTTTCCATTGTGATATAACTTTGCTTTCTCACGAAGTACATATAATGAATTTGGCATAGTCTATTAATCAGAGGAACAGAACAACATAACTATTAATGCTTTCTTTATTAAATATTTATGTGTGTGTTTTTAAAACCCACTTAACATGGATGTCATTTTTATGTTTGACTGTATGCCTTTACAACATAATTCCTCATTCAGTCTCTTTTCCCTTATGCCATTATTACTTTGGATGAGTAATATTTAAGTGACAATTATAACTACTTCCTGGGAGAGCAGAGGAAACGGCTGCAGAGCTATTTGGATTCCACCCCATTCCATTAATTTCTGTTTTCAAAGTTTTTCTAACTAGCTATTTATCTGCTTTTTTTAATTTTCATTCCTCATTATAAAAGCAATAAAGCCTAATTTCTACCAAATATTAGTGGTATATGTATTAAATAAACTACTGAGGTAGAGTTTCCTTTAATTACCCCACTTCCCAGACTAGTTTGCCCTGTCCCTCTGTGAACTTGATTCTGTAAATCCCCACAAGATGTCACTGTTCTTGCATATTAGCAGGAGCCTTTCTGCATTCGGTGTGGGTTTGCCAAGATGCTCCTGATTTACGTTTTTAGCTTAGTTCTGTGGTATTTTTGTCACTGATTTGCTTTAGTTTTTTCTTTTCCCCAATAAGTGGTGATTGCTTTTAAACAATGAAGAAAGTCACTGGTATGCAGTTCTTCTGAAATGTTGGTGGCGTTTTCTTCTGACCTTTTTGTCTTACATATTGTGGGCTCACAACCATATGCATAAGATTCGGGAGATAAGCACAAGCTCAGAGTTGGTCGTCTTTCATCTATGCATCACATCTGTGAAATTAGGCAGAAAATGAGATAAAAAACCCAACACAGAAATTAAACTAACAGTATGAAAGTGATAATGTTACTGCAATACATCTGTATGAGACACAATTGTACCCATGGGAAAAGAACTGCTCAGTTAGAACTTAAATGTAGGTTATATTAATTCCCAACATTAAAACCCTTAAGGTTAGTGTGATAGGAAATGTGTAGGTTCTGTACACAGCTATAAGCCTTTAAAAGGTGGAGTCAGTTCTCTAAAGTGCCTGTTTCCTTAGTATTTCAAATGTAGAGCAAAGGTCCAGGTTCAGCTCACACTTTGTTTTAAGCATTGTGGAAGCTGACTCAAGTCACTTACCTTGCTTTTGAGGTTCAGCTTACATAAACAGATTTAGGCCTTGGCTCTGCAAGTTACACCCAGAAGGACCTTAGATTTTCTTGATATTGAATAAGTGTTTACTTTTGTGAACTCCTATGTCAGATATGTACTTCTGAAATGGTAATCATGTCTCTCTGAAAACATATTTGAAAACTATTTCAGAAGTGGGACAGAATGGAGGAAGGAGCAAGGTGTGACCAGGAAATACATCTTCACCAAAGTAACTTACATAACAATACGTGGACCATGTTTAATAAGCACATGATCTGAACACTTAGATTTCCAATGTAGTTTGATGAAAGAACAGAGGGAAGGGAGAGATCCTGCAAAAAAGGAGAGTATTGGTAATTATCTTGGGATTTTCTGATGTTATTCCAAAATTCTGTGTTCATGTAACTGCTGGGAAACATTTTACTACATAAGATATTAGTTTGCAATGGAAGATTAATTTAATCCTTGTATACTTAACATTAAATCTGTAGCACTCGCCCATGAGTGTGAGTGTTTACACCAATGTTTTTATGTTCAGACTGAGTTTTCTGACTCATGCAATCAGAATTCAGCTGTGTAGTATCTCCTGTTTTCTTCCTAAACCTTCATGTGGTTGTCAAAAAATGTGCCATTGCTTTTATATATACGCTGAAAGTGTTTGTTATCTTGATGAGCAGCTTCCACTCGAGCAAGCCTGTATTACAAGTATCCTACCCTACATCTGCAAGAATGTGAGCTGAAACTTTTCAGTCCCCATTTAAAGCATGTCTGAAAGAGGGAGCTTTGCAGTTGGGAACCTTTTTGGACTGGACAGCATTTCTGTAGGTATTTAAGCAAGAATGTTGATAGGCAGTTATGCAGTTAAACAGTTATGCTGTTCATCATGAGGTTCAGACAGACAAAGCTTCTGTAGATGAAGAGAAGGTGATTTCCCCACATATTGCTCTTGCAGCGTTCACTGGAGGGTTCCTTCATCACTGGAGGGTTCCTTCATCACTGGAGGCTGGGGCTGTTCCAGCCTGATGGACCTGGGGTTGCATATTAACCTCATCACTGCTGGGAAGCGAGGCCTGGTTCACTGTACAAAGGACACTATGGGCTTCCTCAGAGGCTTTGGGATGGGCTGTTAGCAGAGATACCCCATTGTGACCCCTTTGCAGCATCCTCACAGCTGCATATTCCTGAGTTTTATACTGGCAAAATAATATGAAAGAGGTTTGCACATGTTTCACACTTGCATCCCTTCACATGCTCAGAGCTACTAACGTGGCTCCAACAACTCCTGCAGGGCAAAGGAATTCATTGCAGATTATGTGGGCTCTGGATGGACAGTTCTCCTTAAAAAATGACAGCCACAGAAGGAGGTTAAGCTGTCCTGCTCTTGCCACAAATGCAAAAACTGTTCTTGTAGGTCCTGCTTACACTGACATCCATTTCAATTTTACCTTCCATGAAGTTTCTCCTTATTTTTGCTGGCCAGAAGGGAAAAAAAATTAGGTCAGCAGTCTCTTATAATACTTAATTGAATAACCTTTCTGTATCTAGGCTGTTATTATTATAACTCAATTGAAACTTGAAGGCAATCAAAAAAGCCCTTCGATATGTTAGCCCCCTGTAGGGAGGAAAATCAGTACAAGTGAACAAAGATAACATAGATCGAACATTATATGTAAATAAACAGGAGGCACAATATCTTTAACACTGTGTTAAAAAGCGTAGGAATTTCTTTTGTAAACAAAACACACTTAAAGTGAGATACTTCCCAACAACTATTAACTACCCAACAGATGCCCTCAGCAGGGTTCACAGCTGTTATTGCAAGTGGGAATTTGCTCAGCCAATTGCCAACAAAATCCCCCTCAAATAGGCAATTGCACTGAAAGACCTATTCACTACTTCATCGACCAAAACCATAGTTTTGATCAAAATATTTTACAGCAGAGGTGGTGAAAACTGGATGCCATGAACAGAATAATGAGAGCGCACTCTGCAGTGGAGCTGACAAATTCTGCTTTATTCTTCCATCCCTGACCAGGTCTTAGCAGAGCTGCAGCTGAAGTTTCTCCTGATCGTAGCCTCCTCCTCTCCTCTAGCATGCTTTCAAAGTGAGATGGTAATCAGCAATATTAAACTTCTAAATTGCTGAAAAAAAGTAGGCTTGAGTAATTTTGGCTTTGGAATTTAGCCTTTATGCATTACTGAGCTATGAAAAGGTCATCATCTGCTCTAAGGAGATATTGTGTACTATAGCTGTGATACATGATAAGTATTTATGTGCCTGGCTTTATTCTTCTGGCAGTAAACTATCTTTATTTCCTCTGCTTTTGACAAAACTGCTAAGAATAAAAAGAGATTTGGTTATAATCATGTAGCTTTAAGCAAGCAGTACACAAAATAGACCATTGTAATTCTTACTGGTAGAGCTGCTTTCCATTGTTTCTTTATAATATACACATCTAGTTTTTTCCATGGGCCCTCTGTGTTTTGCTCTAAGTTCTAAGCATGCATTTGATTTTGCAAAGTAAACACATGTTGTGTGGAAGCAAATTATAGATAACTACTTCAAAAGTCTCTTGAAAATGGATTCCTGACTGGAAGGCTGGGGGATGTTAATGGATAAGCAGACCTGTAAGGGGTAAGTGTATGTACATGTGTTTTGTATTTATTGCAATTATCTATTGCCTATTTGAAGGAGAGATCTGGGAATTCTCAGTCAAGATGCTCCCCTGGGGAAAAGCTCTATGCTGCATGTGCTCAGTAGAGGAAGATGAGCTGTTGTTTCCCCTGTGTGTAACTGCTGGTTGCTGCCTCCTCTTGCCATTGAATTCCAAATTCATCT